TTGTAAGGTAAGCTGAGGTGTCAAAACTCAATGGCTGAATAATGCTAGTTTCAGCATAGGCCCCTTTGGTTTTTGCAATAAACCATTAGCATTTCATTTTTGCCTACTTTCTCCAACACTTAATCCTCCCCACCCCAAACACACACAATCCAGTGGAACACTTGTTAGAGATCAACAATGGGCAAGTCCAAAGGCCACAGGAGACAGAATACACGTACTTCCCTTTTAAGGAATGATAGACTAGCTACCAAGTTGATGAAACTTTCTTATCTGTAAATGCTGTGTAAAAATTCTATATACACATTTAGCCTCCATTAGACAACAAAAGGGATGAAGAAAAATGCCAAATCCTCAGCTTACTAGGACAGCATCCCAGGCAAAGCCCCTATCAATTCATGCCACGTGAAGGGCGGTAAGAGAGCCAGGTGCACTGAAGTAGTTCAGCTGAGCACACTGCAGGTGGGGAAAGCACCTGCCTCATGATGAATAGTGAATTACAAGATGCTAAAACCAAGCAAAGCAGTGTGAATTTGTTGAAGTTACAGCTCAGGAGCACTTTTTAAAAATTGATTGTAGAGAGAGAGGAGGGAGGGAGGTAGAGACAAACATCGATCTGTTGTTCTACTCGTTTATTGCACCACTGGTTGATTGTTGTCACTGGCTGATTCTTGTAGCGCCCTGACCAGGGATCCTTGGTGTGTCGGGACGATGCTCTAACCAGCAGAGCTCCTCCACCAGGGCTTCAAGAGCACCTCTTGTCGGTGGAGCTTAATGAACTTGACGTTTGTTCAGATGCTGGACTCTGTATGTCCCGTCATGAAGAGCCATTCACCCTTTTGTGCAGTCTGCTGCCTGCCCTGGGACCACAGGCCCAGGAGGGCCGCCTGTCTTGCTCATCACTGTTCCTAGCACAGAGTAGGGTGCTGGAAAAAATACCTGTTCAGGTACGAAACCTGGATGAGAAACAAAGTATTTTGTAAACCCTTATTTCCTCCAGGTTATCCCTAAAGAAATGAAGCTTTCTACATGTGAAGCATAAATCTATTATTTTACCTCTTATTTTTCTCTTGAAAGAAATGAGCACCTTGTTTAAGGAACTATAGAATGAATCCTTCTGAGATCTTTGGATTTCTCCATTATACGTTTTGAATATACGTGGCCTGAACTCGTACAACCAGCACTATCCTAATTACAACTTTTAAAGACAGGTGTCCTATTAAAGTTTAAAACCATGGAAGAGGAATAACACTTTCCCATTGCTTTAAATGTCTCGGTGCCCTAGAGCCACAGCCGTGAAAGGCTAGATCACTCCTGGATAGAAACGGGCTCACCCCGCTCAGGGCCCCTCTCCTTCCCAGTCTCACACGTGACCTGTTAAAACCAGTCTTCAGTATCAGCTTGTTATTTCCTTGCAGGGCCTGGCTACAGGATTTCCCAAAGATGCCTCCAAACCCCTCCTCCCACCCTGTCCTGCCCGGGCTGGGATGTTGCCAAGCCGCAGTTTCTGGCTCTCTATGGAAAAGGAAGTCCTGATACCACCGCAGATACAATGGGCAGGACCCAGCACACGGCAGAATCTGAAAGGGCAGGTCAAACCTTGTTTTCCTGAGGACAAAGGGCCTTGTTATACCGGGAGATACAGAGGGCCTCTTGTTATTAGCCACTGCTCCCTTCTCACTTTGTCTCTGGGGTCACCTGCAGGTCACTCAGCGTCTTACATGCTCAACTTCAAATCTGGGCCGGAAACCAGCTGTTCCTTGTTGAGTTTGGACGTTTCACGAAGACAAATTCACACCCATACTTACCACTCAAAACTACTTTTTTCAGAAATTTGGCCTCCGAGAACTTCTCTGTATGCAGCACTTAATGAGGGAAGGACAAGGTCACACAGATCCAGAATAGAAAAACCCAATTCTGCCTTGACTTCCAGTTACATTCAGAATTAGCTAAATTGATGAGCTAAGTTTTGTGTTCATTAGACCACATCTTTGATAAAGAACATACCTTAGATAATGTACATGAATTCCAGTACTCAAAAAGCTGTGACTAAATGTAATTTCTTTTCCAAATGGGATCTCGGAACAGAAAAATGACATTAGCTAAAAACTAAGGGTTTGCCCTGGCTGGTGTAGCTCAGTGGATTGAGTGCAGGCTGCGAACCAAAGGGTCACTGGTTTAATTCCCAGTCATGGCACATGCCTGGGTTGTGGGCCAGGTCCCTAGTGGGGGCCATGTGAGAGGCAACCACACACTGATGTTTCTTTCCCTCTCTTTCTCCCACCCTTCCTGTCTAAAAGTAAATAAAATCTTTTTTTTTAAAAAAAGGGCTTTAATAATGTATCAATATTGGTTCATTAATTGTGACATCAATACCATACCAGTGTATTAATAATAGAGAAAACCAGGTATGGGATATATGGGAACTCTCTGTACTATCTTTGCAATTTTTCTGTAAATCCAAAACTTGTAAAATGTAAAGCTCGTTTTAATAAAAATTGCATTAAAAACTTGAAAAGTACACAATCACAAAGAAAACAGAAGTCACTTTAAACTCATTACCCTTAATATTTCATTATGTAGCTTTCCAGCTTTTTAAACTTTTTCAGTTTTTCCTATTTCATTTTTGACTCAGTCCCCAATCTCTGGTTGGTTCCACTCAGGACGCACTGTCATCCACGGCTGGCAAACCGCACCGACAGCAGCGCCCTCGCGTCTCAGCCTGCTCCCCGACTGACCGGAGGGGAAGAGCAGAGCACCCTCCTGGGCTCAGAAGAAAAATGACACGTGCTATGCGATTTCAGCCACTTAACCATCACATCCACCCAGGATTTACGCCACCATCAGGCACTCCTGGTTATTAAGTGAAATCTACCATCAGCCGGGGGAAAAGGGCAGTAAGTGTCCAGGGCCCTGAATGCTGCTGAACTGAAGCCAGTCGCCCCTTGGTTTGTCCAAGCCCTGATTCCTGGATGGTCCAGATCCTGGAGTTTCCATCACTAGTTAACTGATTTCAACCTAATCTTCTAGAAGGTATGAGTGTGCTCTCTTCTCAGCCAACCTACAGCTCACCCAAATGCCTTTAATTAAAATGTTAAAAAGGAAAGTAAGATAATAAAATTGCACTTATATCACTAGTATATAAAAATGACAATGGAAGAGGAAAGAAATACACAACAAACCAATACACCCACTCCGATAGCCCAGGATTACCAATCACGAGTTCAGAAGTCAAACATGATTCTCAGAGCAAGAGTGTTAACATCGTATTTCCTATGAGAAAAGTTATTAACTAAAATTCATGGTATTCAAATGTCCGGCATGTCTACCACGTAATGTAAGTTCTCTGACTACAGCTACACTGACAGAAGCTCGCTTCCTCTTCACTGGCCCATAATAGAGGAGGAGGGAGAATGCTTGAGCAGAGCCCAGTGACTTCATTCCTTGTGCCAGACCCAATTTAAACATCCCTTCAAGAGTCTCATGAGCCCTGGCTGGCGTAGCTCAGTGGATTGAGTGTGGGCTGCGAACCAAAGCATCGCAGGTTCGATTCCCAGTCAGGGCACGTGCCTGGGTTGCAGGCCACGGCCCCCAGCAAGCACACATTGTTTCTCTTTCTCCCTCCCTCCCCTCTCTAAAAAATAAATAAATAAAATCTTTGGGGTGTGGGGGGAAGAGTCTCATGAGAGGAATAACAATCAAATTGATTCTTAAAGAGCTGAAATGTCATATGGGTCCCTGCCATCCAGGCTCACTTGCTACACTGAACTGCATTGTAAAATCTGGTTTTAAGGATTGCCTTAGTCTTTCTTTCCAGTAAGTTGAGCTCTTAACTTCTACTCCCTTTGATTAGATACAATTGGGAGCAGTGAAGACAGTCCTCCCTCAAAGCATTCCCACTCCTGACAGGTAGGTCATCTTCTGCTTGACCTGAGCCAGCGGGGCGGCGGCGAATGTCCGGGCCCAACCAGCGAGTATTGGGCTCAGTGGTGCCTCCTGGGACAGCAGATACTTAACTCGCTCTTCCTCCTCACACCAGTGAAGCAAAGACAAGTTTTCTCCTGCGGGGAAAAGAGCCCCAACCTTCCTTCACCACTCACGACAAGGTCTTCTTTGGAGGCTGGCTCTCCAGGGATCTGCTTCTCAGACTGTGTGTCGAACATTGAACATGCCATGAGCATGGAGTAAGAGTGGTGGTTTTCGGGACGCACACCATTAACACGTCCTAAAACTGTCTTACCTCACTGGCAACCACTTCCGGTCTACACTGAGTTCAACATACTCAAATTTATCTTAATTCTTTCCTCTCAGTTTTGACATCATTTCAGCCAGTTTAAGGTTAGATAAAATCTTAGGTATTTTATCAAATAAATGTAGTGGTTAGTTCTCCTAGTTTTGTGTCATTTGCAGATCTGATAAAAAGAAAAAAACCCTGTCATTTCATCTGTGCTGAGAAAACCTGGAGACACAGGGCTGACGACAGAGCCCCAAGGCCTAAATAACACCAGTGCGCTCCTTCCGGGTGGGCGGTAATTCCCAGTGCACCTTCTTTAGCTGCAGCTGATTCAAAAAACCATCAGTCTCTGTAACCAGGATCAAAGACTGTCAAATGCCTTGATGCAATCAATATACCCTACTTGATATACAAAAGCCTGACCAAAACATGAAGTAAGGTACAACTAGAGCTGAGTTAAGTCTGATGACTAAATCAGTTTCCTTGAGAATATACTGGGTCTTCAGATTTCATCACTTATTCTAGCCCAACATAACCAAATAAAGATACCCAACTGTGCTGAACCACCGAGTCCAGGTTCCTTTGCTAGACCCAGGTCAAAGTCACCCTCGGAAGAAGGACCAGGGACTTGCTTAACTACCTCAGAATCAAGTTAACATGTGAAAAGGACTCGACTAGCTAGAAAATACGCTTCAAAAGAGCAGAGCAAACTATAAGCTACATTTATTATGCTAGTCTGTTTTGCTGAAAACAAAACAAAAACCCAGAGTCCAACTACAGCACAATTTATTTCTCCACTACAAACCCTGAGAAATGTGAGTGTGTGTGGAAAGGAGGAAAGTGCTGCATTAACTCCAGGTAACAATTCTGAGGTGAAATAAGACACTAGAGTGAGTTTGCATGACCCGGCAATAAACGTGAACACAGCCAACAATGACTTTGTTTACTTCTCTTCCAACCCTACAGACACAATTCTGCTTTCACCTTCATGACGTGCTCATATGGTTTTAACAGGGGATACACCTCCTCTTCTAAGAATCTCCGTACCTGCCAAAGAGGAAAGCAAATACAAAACAAAACATTAGGATGTAAGTTTTGATAATAATTTTTCCACGTCAGTTGAAAAGACCTAATTTAGTAAGAATTTACTCCACTGCTGAGCTATGTTTCTCAGCTGTCTGTCAGAATCTCTCCCTCGCCACAGGCGGCTTAATCCACTATGCCCACATATGCTATACCCCCGAGCTCCGTTTTCAGTGGCTCTTGCCATTCTCCACCCGGTCACCCAAGCTGAAATCATCACTGCTTCCTCCCCTCTCCTCATCCCACCAACTACCAAGTGCTTCGCCTTCTAAGGAGCACTCAGCTCTCCCCCCTTGTCTGTATCTACCCGTGGTGGCTCCGAGCCCTCGTCGTCCAATGCTCGGCCCATTGCGGCAGCCTCCTTATCGGCCCCCCTACCTCCAGTTCAAATCTCTCCAGTCCAAAACTCCAGAGTGGTTTGACTATAATGATAAACTCCTGCTGTCTCCAACTTTAAATCCTGTAACTACTTCTGGGGCACTCCACACTCTGGCACATGATCGCAGTTTCTCTCTTCCATGTTAGACAGTCCGATGTTCCCAGATTTACTCCTACTTGTCCCTAAAATTCAGCTCAGATGTCATGCCTTCCAAGAAGTCTTTCCTAACTTCTACTATTTAACGTTGTATCATCCTCTCTGACCCCTGAAAAGATGTGTTTCCCTCAATTCCTGTATGTACTGCTTGGTATTATAATGAAGTATTTACAAGTCTTCACCACTAAGTTTTGAGCTCCCTGAAGGTAAAAATTATCTACCCATCTTTAAAGCTCCAGAATTTTTAAAAATTTATTGATGAGAGACACACACACACACAGGAGATAAACACTGATTTGTTGTTCCACTTACTGACGCATCCATTAGTTGATTCTTGTGTGCGCCCTCACCAGGGGTCCTTGTTGTATTGGGACGACACTCTAACCAACTGAGCTACCTAGCCAGGGCTTAAAGCCCCAGAATTAAACACAGTACCCAAACCCACACAGGACACATGGTCTACATTTGATAAATGGTTTTGAATGAACTCTTGTAGTCCCCAAGAGACCAAGAGCAAAAGTGACAAACACTGACTACTTGCTATGCACCAAGCACCATGCTAGGCCTTTCGATCTCACACTGCCCTACGAGATGTGTGCGTGTGTTCTGTCGGCCAGGAAACGCCACAAGTCAGGACCAAGCTCAGATCTACCTGATGACAAAGCCCAATCTCTGTCCATTACACCCCAGTCTCTAGACCGAAAAAGAACTCAAAGGAATCCACAGAGAAAATCCTTAAGGCAGCGCCAAAGAACTAAAACCTAACAGCTGAGCCAGCGCAACCGGCTCCAAATTCTAACTCGCCGCACTCTCACAACTCCCATGAAGTGGACGCATGACAGGACTGCAGGCTCTGCAGCCCGCGCGGAAGGAGAGGGCAGTGGGCAAGGCTGCAGCGCCACGGAAGAGCGCCGACGCTTACCTGCTGGGATGCGCGCCCGGTGAAAGAAGAAGGGTCCAGCAGGCGGTCCAGCTGGGAGTGAATGGGACTGAAGTAGGCATCGGCAAGGATGCGCTCTATGAGGTCATTGTCACCCCCTTCCTGCTTGACCACCGCAGCTGCCTGCTGGGACAGCACTCTGATCTTTTCATGGCAGTCCTGGGAAGACAGTGAGGGGTCGTTGGGTCACCACTAACAGGCCACCTGAATGCCCTGGTAAGTCACCACCACTTCACACCCACCCTGCCTCTGAGTGGTACAAAGCCCCTCCAGGCCGAGGTGCTTCCTCACAGTCTGACTCCACCAAGACCCTGGCTCTCTGACCACGACCTGGGGCAAATCGGAAACGGATGTCCACCTCACGCAGGCTGCGCTAAAGCCCCTGGCACCATCTGCTCGTGTCCTGCCCACTTCCCATCATTTCCCATGGAAATTCAGACCTAATGGCTTCATTAAGAGTGGACCTTTGCTACAAGTGATTAAATGACTCACTTTTAATAAACAGGGTTTTTCACAGAATAAGCCTATTCTATGGTAGAATACGGTCACTGTTCTGTACCAATGCCATGACTGAGGGTAATGACAGAAACTCCTTCCTTCAGCCATTCTCCTTTTCTCCACTTATCCCGGCGCACGAGGAGTTACAAACCTGGCGGTTACCCCCGGCTTTCACCATGGCCATGATGATGTTCTCCGTGGCCATGAAAGGCAGTTCTTGCCGAATGCGCCGCTCAATTACCTAGAAGAATGAACGAAGGGCCAAGAAAGATGCCTCCAAGTCACATACGCAGTAAGACATCAAACTCTGACCGGCACAGTGCACACCAGGGACATGAACTACCGTATTCACAGAAAAAGAGAGCAGAATGGATTGTTTTATTCTCCACCGTATTTTTAATCTTTCTCAGTAATCCAGAGCATTATTTTGATTTTAAAATGAAATACTGACTTAAGTAAACTTTTAAAAGTTGCTTCCTTGAAAACAATCCCTAAAACCTCCCGCTGTTAAATTTCAAGGCCCACTGCAAGAGTCAAGCACCCGATGGACATGAACCCATCTCCCTCAGGAACTTAAAAACAGGCGAAGGGAACGTCGGCCCCGCCAGTCACACCAGAGCTGGTGGTTCCTGCTGGTAGACAGCTGAAGCCAATTCAAAGTGCCTTTCTCCGTTTTCTAGAACTGTGTCTATAAATCGCACATGTTCGTGCTACAGACTTCCTGTCACAACCCGAAAATGAGCGCCGGCTGGAAGGACTCCCACTGGGCCGGAATATGGAGCCCCCAACATACCCGCTGCAGAGCAGAGAAAGGTTACACTCCCCTTCCCACACTCCAACCCCTCCCTAACATTTCGCTTTTAAACTGAGGCCTCTTACTTTGGGGTATACCACCAATCCTTCAGAAACGTTCTGCAACGTATTCAATATAGTATCTGCAGTGAGAAATGCTTCAGCCAAACAAATACGTCTGGAAAACAAACAACCAATTCAGTGATCTCTTTAAGCAAATAACAATCTCAGTGAAATGTAGGGTGTGTCCCAAGAAACAGTCCTATTAACTTCTCGCGTCATATGCGCTATCTGGACAACTGCCTGCATTCTCTGACTTCAACTACCCCAACACCCCGATGGCCTTCGAAGCCATTGTCTCCTCTCTTCCAGACCACTTGCCCCAGTGCCAGACCATATACCCAGTCAGAGAGCTCCACTTGGTCGATCCCCGAACCCCAAACAGAATTCAGCCACTTTCCCATTGCCTCCTGTTCACTACTCGAACCCACTCCCCCACTCCCCGTGGCTCCTGGCTCAGTGAATGCCACTAGCACCCCGTCACCAATCTTTAAAAAGGAAACATTTCTTTTATTGATTTGAGAAAGAAACATCAATTTGTTGTTCCACTTATTTTATGCATTCACGGGTTGCTTCTTGAATGTGCTCTGACCAGAGATCGAACCTGCAACCTTGGTGTACTGGGATGACGCTCTAACCAATGAAGCTACCTGGCCAGGGCCCCATCACCAAACTTAACACTCACTCCAGTCAGCAACCAAGGCTGGCCCATCGGCCACTATTTTATTTTTTTTAAACGATTTTATTTATTTCTTTTCAGAGAGAGGGGAAGGGTGGGAGAAAGGAGGGAGAGAAACATCAATGTGTGGCTGCCTCTTGCACGCTCCCCACTGCAGACCTGGCCCGCAACCCAGGCGTATGCTCTGACTGGGAATCAAACCGGAGACCCTCTGGCTCACAGCCTGTGCTCAATCCACTGAGCTACACCAGCCAGGGCTCAAATGGGATTTTTAAAGCAGCCTCCAGACTTGTTTGGACTAGACTAATGTCCCCTTATAACTGATTCTCCAAACCGTTGCAGGGTGTTTTAACAGGCACACCTCACTAGGTCACACCCACTAAAGGTATTCAGTGACTGATTTCTGAGTGAGTCCACGTATCTTATTTCCACAGATAAACCCTGGCTTTAATGTATGTCCTCCACTCAAGAAATCCCAGTACAACCCAAGCGCAATGTGAACCTGCTTTAAGTAAGTATATACATAACGTAGAATACCATACGCATGTTGGTACCTTACCCACAACTAGAAATTACTTCTGACCCACCCTGTAACTCATTAACACGTCCTTGCGCCAGACACCACAGCTGACGTCAGCCTGCCTTCCGAACACCACCTCAACTCCTCTTCAGGTAAGTGGATCCCCGATCACGTCCTAACTCGTCTCTTACCACATACGCACTTCATTCCTCAGTGCCCCGGCTATTAGTAGCTCCCTAAACTGCCTTTCTCTTGCCTTTGGTCCTTTACACATACATGCTCCCGATCTTGTCTGAAGTACCTTTTTAAAAATGCCTGCCCTGGCTGGTGTGGCTCAGTGGACTGAGCGCCAGCCTACGAACCAAAGATTCAGCGGTCAGGGCGCAGGTCTGGGTTGTGGGCCTGGTCCCTAGTAGGGGGCACACGAGAGGCAACCACACATTGATGTTTCTCTGCCTCTCTTCCTCTCTCTAAAAATAAATAAAATCTTTTTTAAAATGCCTGTTTACTTCTTAAGTATTAAGCCTCCCCTCTTCTGTGAAGCGTTCCCGGCGTCCTCACAAAGAGCACCTTGTACACACTTTGAGCCCAACACTCATCACACTGTTCTTTCTACGTTCTTGCCTCCCTGCTGGACTCCAGGCTCCTTGGGGACAATGAGAAAATGCAGACATACTCAAAACACCTTTCTGGGACATCCCCGTTCCACTGACCGATTGGCACTGTCATCCAGCGTGCGTTCAAACCACTGCACAGACGCCGTCTGCAGGGGGTCCATGACGAGGGTCATGAGGTGACGGGCAAGGCTGCAGCAGCGCTCGGAGCGCATGGGGTTCCGCTTGTACGGCATCGCACTGGAGCCTGCCCGCGTGGAAGGGCAAGAAGCACAGGCAGCACGGTGTCAGAGGGCAGGGAGAGCCCAGGCAGGCCGGGCGGGTGAGCTGGTAACACAGGCCTGCGAGCCTCGCTGTGGTGTCCACACGCACTCACCGATCTGCTGTTTTTCAAAGGGCTCCTCCATCTCCTTGAGGTTTGCCAGCAGCCGTATGTCAGTGCAGATCTGGGGACAAGCAGGGCAGAGGCATCACCCCACGTTCCTGAGTGCAGGAACCAGGGGCAGGGCCTAGACCGACGAAGGAGACGGCCCGTCAGGTGGGCTGTTGCCGACCGAGCCTAAGCAGCTCATCTCCTTCAGCACGTCCTCCCGAGCTCCCCGGGAGAGCCTCACTCAGACCCCTCCTGACCCCTGAAGAGCCGGGATGACAGGCTCGGGGAGCGTGGACCCGTCTTTGTGAGACACCACCGAAGGACAGTGGCAAGGTGAACTTGAAGGAGAACGCCAAAACTGGTCTTTCCCTTCAATGCACCTTAATTAAGAGGTTACACTCACGGGCCCCAAATTGTTAAAAGTGACACCTGACATCTCGAGTGACATGATTAAGTAGAAGTCCGAGGCTGCTCTGGTCTGGCTGTGGTGTCCGAAGGTCTCATCCCCACCCTCACAAGCTGCCACCACTCACCTTGTGCACTGACGCCCCCAAGCTGGCCAGCACAGACAGCACCTCGATGTCCACTTTCCGTGTGTAGGTCTGTCCTGTGATAATGAAAGCCCTAAGCATAAACAGAAAAGAGCCTTAAGTGGAAATATTTCAAAATGTGACTCTGTCAAACAAATGAGCAAAAACAGAGCCCCAGGGAACGCCTGGCCTCACTGGCACGCCGAGTCACACTCGGCCCAGGGCACCGCACCGATGACTGGTTCCTGGAACGCACTGCCCTTCCACCCTCTTCGTCAACACCCAGCACCCAGACGGCTGTCCTGACCCAGAAGAAAACACAGTCCATGTTCCCACGTCCTGCTGCAGCCTGATGCCAGTGCCTAAAGGGTGCCACTGTGGAGCCTGGGGCCCTCAGCGGGAATGGCCAGATTAGACTAATCCGCTGGAGGCCCTCAGTACATAAGCAAAAACAGTAACATGGGTAAGTAAGCCTATTCTAAAAATCTCAGAAGGAAAAGTTTCCTTTTTTCTTACAGATTGTAAGAAAATAGAATCTAGGCTCTAAGGAAAGAAAACCCAGGCAACACACGGAATGAAATGGGTGGAAGAACAAAGAAAATGGCACAAAGGTTAGGATGAAATCTAGAGGTATATTGGACACAGGCCTTTCATCAAGTAATAGGGAGGCCAGCACTGGTCCCATTTACCTACCTCTTAAACCCCGCCTTTTCTGTCACCATCTTGTCAAGCTGCTCTACCTGGGAAAGAAGAAACACCCCTGTAGTAATCGGGTGTGCCCAGCATGAGAACCCCCCAGCATCCTGCCCAGAATGCGCTCCCCCGTAGCCCTTTCAGCCCAGAGACTGCCCTCACCCCGAGACCAATCTCCTGTGGTCCTGGGGGTCCGCTTTGCCTCTGGGGCTCCCCCACTGAGTTTCTGTGTCCCGCAGGCTGCTTTCAGAATACCTTTTGGTCGTCTCCCTCGAAGAGCTGCAGGAAGCTGGCCTGAGTACCAGTGGTACCTTTCACCCCGCGGAAGCGCAGGTCATCTCGGACACGCTTCAAGCTCTGGAGGTCCATGCAGAGGTCTTGAATCCAAAGACAGCAACGTTTCCCAACTGTAGTCAGCTGAGCAGGCCTGAGAGCGGCCCAAGAGAACACAGGGAAGTTTCAAACCAAGCAGGAGCATTCATAAAAGCTTCGCTGCTTCCTCTAGCCATCACTGTCACCCCAGGAAAGAATGACACTAAGAGATGGAGAAATCGGCATAGACAAAACAGGAGCTAAAGCATTTGAGTAAATATCAGTTAAGGAGATTCTATGTCACTTATAAATATTCAAAGAGTATAAAGGTCCCTATCCAGTGCAGCTCACACGTGATGTAAACAAACAAACGAACAAGATACTTATTGATTTGTTATGAAAAAAGAAAATGAGGACAATGGAGAACGCTACCCTAGCTGGGCAGTCAAGGAAGAGCTTTGTAAGGAGTCACGGCCTGAGGAGGAGCCAGCCACGCTGTGGGGAGCCCCCAGCGCACACGACCAAACCCCTCAGACAGAGCAGCTAACGGCTTTGTGTCCAGGCAGAAGTCTACACCAATCCACTGCAGGTCTGTTTTGTAACATGAAACTTAAACTCTTAAAAACAAAAATAAAGAACTCCAGCATTATTGCAGTTTATTTATAATAATAATATATTTTTTTTTAGAGAGAGAGGGGAAGGGAAGGAGGTAGCCAGGGAGGGAAACATTGATAGGCTGCCTCCTGCATGCACTCCAACTGGAACCAGGCCCACAAGCCAGGCATGTGTCCTGACTGGGAACCGAACTAGTGACCTTTTGCTTTGGGTGACGACACCCAACCAACAGAACCATGTCAGTCCAGGCAATGCCGGAGATGTAACAGAGGACGCAGCCCATCCCAGGTGGAAATTCTCTGGTAGGCTAATGATACTGACAGCTGGGGTAATCAACGACCACCACCAGGAATGTCTGTAACAGGTAAACCACATGCTGTAATATATTTCCAAATTAATCTCATGGTAGTTTTCTCTGCCGACTCCTGCTAATAGATTATTGGCACAAAGAAATAAACAAATTTGCATGGATCTGTTCATAGCGGCATCATACACAATAGCCACAGGGGAAATAACACCAATACCTGGACAAAAGGTGGTGTATCCATAGGATGGCACTGCTACCCGGCCACAGAAAGAAACGAAGTACCGATACATCCTATGATACGGACGGACACTGAAAACACCGCGCTAAGTTAAAAGAAGCCAGTCAGGAGAGGTGAAGATTGTATGATTTCCATGTAAATGAAATATCCACCAGAGGCAAACCCACGGACAGACAAGAGATCAGTGGCTGCCTGGGTCTGGGGGACGGGGGAGTGACAGGCACCGCTAACAGGTACGGGGTTTCTGTGGGGTGACCAAAGTGTCCTGGAATTACGTACTGGTGATGACTGCAGAACTCTAAATATTCCAACCACCACCCCACTGCACCCTTAACAGGGGTGAATGCCACAGTGTGTGAGTTACAGCTCAACACAGTTGCTTCTTTCCCACCACGGGGGCCGACCCATGCCGAGGTGACGCCCACAGTGCCGCGCCACTTTCCCAGCCCCGAGGCCCGCTGGCCGCGGCTGCAGATGCCTCTCGTTCTGCGGTCCCCAGAGGCGCCCCGGGACGCCATTATGTTGTATACGATTATAACATCATCAGGGATCTGGAGTGCTCTCCCACGGACGTGCGGGAGGAAGGGGAGCCGCAGCACACGCGTGGGGGAGGCGGCAGAGGGAGCGTGTGTCATGGCCGAGACGCACACACGCCGAGCACTGGCCCCTTCTCATGAACAATTTTTTCCCAGTTTCTACCAATAAGTATAGGCCCTAACTTTCAGGAAGACTCACCCCAAACCTAGGCTCTCTTACGCTAATAATACAGGAGAGGAGATCCTTGTTACCATGGCAATACCCCACCAAACACAAGGCACCTGTGAATACACCACTCAAATATCCTCACCTGAAACCTGTTATTGGATCCCCAAAATGGTATCAGCTTTTAAAAGGGTCTTTTCGGCCCTGGCTGCTGTGGCTCAGTGGCTTGAGGGCCATGTGCCCAGTAGGGGGCGCACGAGGCAACCACACAAAGATGTTTCTCTACCTCTCTTTCCCTCTAAAAATAAACCTTTTTTAAAAGGGCTTTTGGTTTTAGTAATCATAAAAATACTTGTACATTTTAAAATTCAAAAAGTAGTAAAGAAAAAATTAATTACCCTATTATCTCACAAACCTGAGCAATCAGTATTTACAGTTTGGTGTGACTTCCTCCGAGCTTTGTGCAATGTACATGCCGTTTTTTATCCCCAACATTAACCTAAGCACATTTCCATGATGTTAGTCTCACCGTCATCCTTTCAGTGGTGGCATATAATTCCAACCTGTGGGTACACTACATACCTTATGTAATTATTCTCTTATTGTGAGACATTTAAATTGGTTCCAATGCTTACCATTACAATACTGTAACGAAGATTTTTGCACATAAAGCTTTCCCCATAATTGGCATTACTTCCTTGGTCTAGATTCTCTAGAATGGAATTATTAAATCAAGGAGTATGAATACTTTTTAAGGCTCTTGACTCATGTTTCCCAACGTTCCCTACATGAACTATTATATTTGCTCTCTCACCAGTACAGCTTTTTTGGGGTACATATCAGGTTCGTCCCCATAAGCATCCAAGGTATCTACTTCAGCTATGTCTTGAGACCACTCACCCCAGGGTTTCCCTGCAGGAGAGCCGAAAAAACAAATGAACGCCAGGCGCGCACCGACAAGCCCCAGCCCCAGGAGGTCACCACATCACTTACTGGAAATGTGTGAAGCCTAAGGTGGGAAGACCAGCTCGTTCCTTCGCGAAGTCGGCCAGCCGAGAGATCACTCTGGCCAGCTACAAGAAAGACCACGTGGGAGAAAGACGGTGAATTCAGGTTGAGCTCGTTACATAATCAGGAACGAAACTTCTAGACAACTTAATACAGAATTAGACCTCCAGCTCATGAAGGCAGAGGACATATCTTTTCATCTTCGTATCCGAAAGTATTTGAAAGCGGTCATAGCAATGAATGTTCGAAAACTGAATTGACTACCTAAAGTCACAAACTTTTTCTGCACAATTTTGAGACCCCTGATACGCTCGTGCAGAAAAAATCATAAATCTGACCCACATATTCCAGCAACATGCCATTTCTTCCCTCATTTAAAAGGCTAGGCTTTTAAAAGCATTCACCGACAGTGTTTTAACTGAAGAAGAGACTACTAGTTCTACAGAACAGATACAGGGTCATTCGCCTGAATAAATGATCAGCCATTTAGATTTACATTGTCCTGATTTACTCCTAAGTGGTGCCCGTGCCCTATCACAGGAAATCCGGGGCTGGTAGGAAATTTCTGGCAACTCCTCACCTTTGGCAAAAGCAGGTCCAGTGCATTCCTAAGAATAATCAGATCCTGCAAAGGAAAACGCAGACGCTCTATTAAACCGCTTTGCCCAAACATTACGTAACAGTTTTGGGGCATTAATAACTGATTTCTCAGCTTGTCCTCCACCTATTAGCAACTCACTGTACAAGCCAGAAGATGCTAAGGGAAGTCGTTCTTTCCTGATCACTCTTTTAAAAGCACACCAACTTAGAGAGTGGTACTACGGTACTTGAGGGGTGACCCCCATCCTGGGTACTGTGAAGACGCCCAGGTCAACAAGTATCTATTTCCCACAGACGAGTGCTTGAGTCCCGGAGAAGCTTCCGCAGGATTCACTCCCTGCATTAGTTTCCTCTCCCTTGTCTCATGTCTGCGATTGCTAACAACAGCCAAAAAAAGTCATGAACCAGAACATCAAGGTTTAGGAAATTAAAGCTGTTTTTTGAGGGAGAGAAGAGATGTATTTCAGGCAACTCTGAGATACGTGACACCAACTGTTGAGCCCAACACCACACTGGGTACTTTGAAAAAGTACAACAAATTCTCAGTGAGAGGACTGTTCCTCTCCATTATTTGACTCACCAATTACATACAAATGCCTTTAATTACATGCCACTTAAGACTATTTGAAGCAACTTAAAAGTTAGTGACTTCCATCTGAGTTGGAAGCTGAGTTGGTTAGCTTCCATCTGAGTGTATCTGGAAGCAAACTTCTTCCCACAGGTGCTGTGATTAAGAGATTAAGGGCACAGCTCTGGCCCCGGCTGGGTGGCTCACGTAGTTGGAGTGTCATCCCATACCCCAAACAGGGTGCCCTTCTATCTCCAGTCGGGGCGCTTAAAGGAGGCAACCATCAATGTCTCACTCTCTTTCTTTCTCTCCCCCCCGCCCCGCACCAATCAACAAACATATCCTTGGGTGAGGATTTAAAATAATAATTTCAAAAATTCAAATAGAAAATGTTACTTTGGAACTATTCTACCTGGGCTTGTATCATTTCTAGTTGTGTAATTTTAGGCAAGTTCTTCAACCTCTTTAAGTTTCCTCAGCTGCAGAGATGGGGATAAGAAAGCCAGATTCCAAAGACTAAATATTCTGACTCCATTCACATGAAATTTCTAGAAAAGGCACGACTGTAAAGACAGAGAGCAGGCCGGGGATGGTCTGGAAGCAAGCGGGCACGAGAGGACCTCCCGGGCCGAGGCCTGTGCTCCAACACGGAGAGCGGTGAAGGTGAACAATGGCATCAGTTCCAACTCACTGAGCCGTACATTTAAAATGGGGAAACTTATGGGATGCAAACTCTACCCCAGTAAAGCTGTTTAAAAATGGAGATAATAACATCTCTTACGACTGTCATGGAGAACACATGAATATACGTAACATGCTCTTAGGAAAACAGCCCTGGCTGGCGTAGCTCAGTGGATTGAGCGCGGGCTGTGAACGAAAGTGTCGCAGGTTCGATTCCCAGTCAGTGTACATGCCTGGGTTGCAGGCCATGATCCCCAGCAACCGCACATTGATGTTTCTCTCTCTGTCTCTATCTCCCTCCCTTCCCTCTCTAAAAATAAATAAATAAAATCTTAAAAAAAAAAAGAACCTCTTAGGAAAACACATGCTGATGCTTTTTCTAATTAAAGGTTTTAAGAATTATATTGCAATCCCATTTTCTTTTCAGAATCATGGCAAAGAATTATAAAGGACTTGGGGAAAAAACCCCTTTGGAAAATAACCTTGGCCTTGAAAATGCTAAGACCTTGGCTTATGCCCAGCACACCAGTGCATAAGGGTATCTAAAGGTGTTATTCTATGGAGGCCATCGGGGGGCTCAAAGTCTGGATGGGAGGAATATCCAAAGCAGAGAATTCCTGAGCATGAAGATACCCCCAAAGCTAAAGATCTACGGAGCCACTTCCAAAACTAGATAGAATAAACTACAGTTTGCAACTGTAGTTTACAACTATGGACTATAAAGATCGCGTCCCTAAGCGGAAACAAAACAACCCAGGACCCTACTGTGTTGTCTCCGACGTAGCAGGAGGTGGCCCCGAGATGCACAATGCCAGCGGCTTTTGGACAGCAACGGCCGAATGTGTGCACGTGAGCCATCACATCGTGTCGTAATCGTTTCTCTTCCTCGGCTGCCATCTTGAAGTCGATATTGTCCAGGTTTGATTTCATCTCCTGGATCTGTTCATCTGTGATGGGCAAACCGAGTGTCTGCAGAACACACAAGATAAAATGCCGTCACTTCAGGAGTCACGACTATTTGAGCTGGGTGACACCGTGAAAAAAACTGGTTCATGTTAGCATTTATGCTCTTTCTCCCAATTTTTAAATTAAAATTTGGGGTAACTCACAGTACATGGTAAGGAGGCAATGACTTTCTTTCTCTCAGTGAATCTTGGTAGATTACATTCTAAGTAAACCCTAATTATACAACAATAGGATCCTGATCATTGCTCCCTCAGGCCCTGTATCTCTCTGCTCACTTCACACATTCTGGTCTCTGGGCTCCAACGTCATCTCTTCAGAGAGATTTATCTCCTGACTCCCCGTGAGACATCCTCCTGCGTCTCTCCTCCCCTTTAGCCTGGTTTTACTGAGAGCACTCATCTCATGGCACTTTTACAAATGCAGGAACCCCTCCCTCCCCTCAGAACGTACACTCCACGAGGAGAGCGTTGTTGTGGCTCACTCCTGACTGGCAGGTAAGCGCCCAAGGTGTGCGATCCAAGCCACAGCTTCACATGTCACCCAGATGGATTTACTCAGAGAAACCAAAATTAGGAATGTGGTTAAGTAGTTTTGCCAACAAATCAGGTATAGAAATTCAGTGCAACTGAAAGCAACTCCAGGAGATACCGATGAGAAAACAAACACGCCAACATCTTACACTCATCTATCACTGGAAAAAATCACTGGCTGTCCAGGATCCAAGTGGTGACTATGTACGTTGGTGAAATTCATTCAAACCTGACTCGGAACTCCCAAGCCTGGGCTCTGGGGAGGATCTAGCATCTTAGAGCTATCTTGTCAAAGATGGTAACTACTGACCAGATGTGGCTATTTATATTTAAACTGATTAAAATGAGAAAGTAAAAATTCACCTCCTCGGTCACACTAGCCACACTGCAGTGGCCCGCGCTGCTCTGGATCTCTGGTCAGTACTGGGCACATCTCAGGGCTCCTCCCAGGGCAAAGCAGCAGGGGGCGGTGTGACCCAACTGCTTCCTACCCTCAAGCAATGTATACCTGTCAGAATTCATTCCGGGCTCATTTTCTGCACTCCTCCTTTCTCTCATCCCTCAATTATTTCCCTGAACTACTAAATTAGTATGTAATTTATGCTGCTAATTGTGATACCCTACTAGATAATCCAAAGGCAGGAGATGATACAAAAAACTGTATGCATTTCAGGCAATATGCAGACTGGGCAGAGGAAAGAACACTTTCAGGTGACTCTACATTTCAATTCCAGCTTGAAGCCATTTACTAGCCATGGTGACCCTGCAAAGCCTTTGAATGACACTTCCCTTACCTATACAATAAAGTATCAAATGAAACAGAACATAAAGAGTACATGCTGGTACATAAGAAACCACAACACACTATTAATGTCTTTTCCTATTCGTTACTGTTAAGTGAGTCAATTGTTTATGAAACCTCTGTGCGCCTCCATTTCACCATCTGTAACCTTTAACTGATAGGCTGATTTGAGGGTTAATAAGCTATTAATATGTATAGTCTTAAAACAGTGCCTGGCATAGAAATGCCTGCTATTATGTCACTTTATTTTCCTGAGCACAGTGAAATGGAGCGGATTATTGAGGATGGAAGTTTCCTTTTGGGGAAGTTCCACTGCACCACCATCCCATTCACCTACTCCAGATTACTTGGGTGTTTACTCATGCCATTTCAGAGGACATTGCCGTCTTGCTTGTTGTGGCATTTTCCTCTGAAACGTTATAGCTCTCTGGATCAGCTTCCTTCCACTCCTCTGGGAAAGGCCCCTCAGAAGCTATTTTGGGAAAACACTGCGATTAACAGCTCTACAAGTAGTTCTCATCAAACAAACCCTAAGTCCTGTCAGATACACCTCTACTCCGATTCTCCCTCTTCAGAGGCAAAACATGGACTCGTGAAATGAAAATAGTGCTCTAGGAAGCACGGATTTTGGGACAGTCCTGTCATGGTGGAGACAGGCTAATAAACCAGGACAAGTTGAACAGGGAAACTGAGATAGTTCAATGCCTGTGCAGTTTATAGCCACCTAATAAACTGCAAAGTTCTATGCCCCCTTAACCAAGGACAAGGAATAAATGGTTTACACTTCTCCTGTCCAACCAGAGGGTAAATAGCTTAAATCAGCCTACTCAGGTAGATAACACAAATCCAATTAGTGCCTTTGGTGCCAACCACACCCATGGAATAAATGTCATTTTCGTGGTCAGCATGAAGCTGCTGAGTGTTTTGGGGTCCACTCCCAACACCTCCCCTAAACTCTAAAACCCTCAGGATGAAGGGCCCAGGCACCCCTCCCCATGCTCTTCCTCTCCCCCGCCCACCACGCCCACTCGACTGTTCAGGGTATGTCTTTCCTTGCTCCTAAACTCCAAGGGCCCTTTCTTTTGCCTGTGGAACTTGTTCCCTCAGCCTACACAGCCCAGCTGGCTCACTTCTACTACTTCTGCAACTCTGTAAATAAACTTTCCCTTATAATTTGAGATCCTGGCTGAACTCAAGAACCCAGGTCCAACTTCGTTGGTAACCACTACAGAGGCACCGTGGAAGACAAGTGGCTAGGAGCGCAGGTTCACCTCCCAATTCCGTTCTTGACTGCTGGGTGGCCCAGCGCACACGACACGCGTGGCTTGGTTATTACACACACTTGGTTTTCTCCCCTCTAATGTGGGAAGAGCATTGCCTACTTTGCAAGGGCTGTGTAGGATAAACAAGAAAAGATGTTGTAAAGAAATTAGCGCAACAGCACGTCACAAGCGCACAGTGGTTAGCGGTGTACTCCTGCAGGAATGGCCAAGATTTAGGCCCTGAAACCACAGACCTGAACTTCTCGCTGCCTCCGCGTCTCTAACCCTCAGTGATTAAAAGCACGTGAGACAACAGGTGGCGGCTCCCGGGCCTCCTGCACTGGCTTGTCCTGGGGCTGCAGCTCCTCGTTCAAGTTAACGCCTAGCCGAAAATAGCAGCGCAGCTGTCCCCAGGCGACCAGACCCACGCTGGGCGCGGAGCCTGGCACGTGCTGAAGAGGACCCGCCTCCCTCCGCCGGGTCTCTCAGCTCCAAGGTCCGTTACCTGTTCTGCCTCCGCCAGCCACAGCCAGAGCTGCCGCCAGGTCCGGAATTTGTACTTGTCGCTAAACAAGAAGCACATCTCCGGGCTGGCGTAGCGGGAAGCAAGCGGCGAGCGGTAGCTGTCATACCCGCACGCCGCCTGCTGCCCGCTACAGTCACCTCCCGCCGCCATTCGGAACTTCCGACCTCGCCAGAACAGACTGGACAGCGAGGACGGAAACGGAAGCCTGAAGGCTGGAACTTCCTCCTTTGGGGCGGGACTTCCTCCACTTAGTCCCGCCCCCGGAGCCCCGGGAAACCTGGGCGTTCAAGGTTGTCGAGTTCGCCTGCTGGCTCGCTAGTTAGGATTAACAAGTTTCTCTTCGTTTACAAGAAACAGATTACCGCTTCATAAATTTAGCTGCCCTGTGCCTCATTTCCCCATCTGGGAAAAGGTACATTAAAACTTGCTTTTAGGATTGCTGTGAGGCCCTGTCTAGTGTGGTTCAGTGGATTGAGGACCCGCCTGCGAACCAGAGTTGCATTGCGGTTTGATTCCCAGTCAGGGCACGTGCCTGGGGGCCACGTGAGATGCAACCACACATTGATGTTTCTCTCTCTTTCTCTCTCCCTTGTCTTCTCTCTAAAAATAAATAAAAATCTTTAAAAAAAAAGATTGCTGCGAGGATTGAGTAGCAGATTGACGTCTGGACACTTAGCCTGCTATGTGTGTGCTGTGATGATGATGATGATGATGATAATTATCGCCTACCCACCCCACCCCCACTCTTACTGCCTGTCTGGCACTGAGTGCAGTTCTGAGGGAAACGAAGGTGCCTAAGATAAATCAGCATTTATTGAGTTCCAAGTGACACCTTGCAATGAAACTGCAGTTAAAAAAAAAAAAAAAAAGACTCCAGCAACTGCTAGAGCTAAGATTCAGAAGCTGAGTGACATGCTGAGGGTTGCCAGGCTTAAGAGTCCCCAGTCTTAGCCATTAAGCGGCAGAGTTCCCAGCACCCACCATGCCAGGTCACACCATGATCTGGTGAAGGTATTCTGTTCTGGAACACCTCTCCTCAGGAAATAAGGCCAAGTCCAGAGACTATTCCCTGATGGTCCCGCTCTCTGCTCTGGTTGGCCAATAATAATAAAAGCCTCTAACGTTTATGGAGGTCTTACTAGGTATCACTGCTTTACACAAATGATCTCATTTAATCCTTGTGTTCCTAAGTTGTTCCGGTATTAAATAAAATACTACAAGTAAAGCCTTTGGTGCAATGCACAGAATAAGTGCTAAATAAATACTAGCCATTATTAAGATCACAATTTGCAGATGACAAAACAAAGGCATGGGCAGGTTGAGTATCTAGTTTGCTCATGTAGAAGGGGAGTGCTACTTGTTAATTGCAGGCAGATAGGCTCTAGATGCTTGGTTCTTAGCAGCTCCAAATGTACCCTTTCCTCGGTACTCCAAAGGTACCAAACTGCTTTAAAAATTACTTATTTCTGAGCTGCTCACTAAAAACAAGACCTCCCAGGGAAATTCCATTTGAATTCCCAGCTTTTTCTAGTAACCATAATATTTCGGGGATATTAAACATTGCTAGTTATAGATCTCAAGTCTTCAAGATCTTGTCTTTAATACTAACTTCTTTACCTGTCATCATTCCATTTCTGCTTTCATTTATTCCGGATTCACTCAAAAGCCTATAGGCCCCCCCTGTAGTGTTCTCCTTGCCCAGCCTGGGGATTTCATAGATGATGAATGACCTACTGCTTCTTAGGTCTCTCATAATTTTCACCAGAGAATTTGCCTTTCCCGTTGATGGCAGACTTAGCATGGGCAGTCTTAATAGCCCATTTCCCTGGCACCTAGCACAGGATCTAGCATAGTATGGGTGTTCAATAGTGTTTCCTGGATGAATGAATGCCAAAAGGAGCCTAGCCTAGGAGAAACAGGCCCACAAGCCAAGATACTAGATTCTAACACTGTACTTCCTCTCCCCCAACCTCTGTCACACCTCTTCAGTGTCCTCATTCTGTGACTTCTTCATATCTCCATCTGGAGTCCAGAATTAGCAGCCAGAATTGACTGCAGCACCAATTCCAGAATACTTGACCATTAGAGAGACCCATCAGTCACCTGAGTTCATCACCCTGGTCTTCTTCCACCTTCCCTCTTGAGAACTGCAGAGGATTTGTTTGAGGGTGAGGGCAGACAATTCTGGGAAGATGAATTTACTTCCTGTAACTTCCCACTCTCTGCAGAGTGCTTCATTGCCTTGATGAGCTGTGACGAGTTTACTGTTCTCACTTTCCACTGTGACTCTTGCAAACTCAGCTGTCTTCTGAGACTTCCAGCCCTCTCTTGCCTCTCTGCTTCACTTGCTGTTATTTTTCCTCCACAAAATAGAGATTTCTGCCTCCAGCCTTCTATCCCTTCATGCAAGAAACTATCTTGCTTTTACTTTATATGGATTTTTCATCTACAGTTCTGACTCCCTTCACCTTTGATTTTTAAGAAATGCACACAGATCCCCCTGATCAGTGAGTGTGGGTGGCTCGGTGGGGCATCATGCCATGAAGTGAAGTGAAAGGTCACTGGTTCAATTCCCAGTCAGCGCACATGACTGGGCTGCAGGTTTGGTCGTCAGTTGGGGTACATGTGAGGCAACCAATTGATGTTTCTTGCCCTCTCTTCCCTTCTAGAAATAAATTTTGAAAATCTTAAAAAAATGCACGGATCTCTGCTACTCTAGAAACACCTTCATTTGTTCTTGTTCTATCCCTAACACGGAAATCTCTTTCTAGCTGCCCCTTCACCAACCATTCCTGGCACTGCAAGTTATTAGCTGACTCAGGCAATTACTAAATCTGTGGCACTTGGTCTTTTCACCTGTGAAATATGGCTGATGATCCCCAGGTGTGCATTAAGGCGCAAAGGAAAGAAGAGATGCTGATTCCCTAGCTCAATGTCTGGGACTCCTGTATTCAACAAATTTGTTCCTCTCCAGCTTTATTCCTTAGCACTGCAATACAACTCCCTGTGTCTCCTCCAAACCACAGTCTCATTGATCACCAATAACTTCCTCTAATAAGCAAATCAAAAGGCCCTTTTCCATACTATGTTTGCCTATATTTGCATAAAGAATCTGTTAAAGGCTATGTGTCAGGGGCACATGCAGGCGATATGAGATGAGACAGGATAAAACTGGGAGCAAGCCTCCCAATGTGCATCTTAAATCATTTCGATCTTTGAGCCAAATAGTTTTTCCTTTTTTTTCCTCTACTAAATCATCCCTCCTGGCTGAATGAAGTATTTAGCATTTTTGACAATCTCTACCTCCTGCTTTGAAATTCCTCTCCGACTGCTCTTTCTTCGATGACCCTTCTCTCACTTCCTGGAAAAGGAAGTAGTGGGAGTTTCCTCAAGGTTCAACCCACTTTTCCTCCCCTTGAAAACTGCTTGCACACCTGCAAGGCTTACCTTCTGAGTCTGCAGGCTCTTCCAAGTTCTGGTTCTTGATCTCCAAAGACACTTCCAGCTGGTTGTCACCGTTACCTAAAGCAACTTCTCTAATTTTACTTTGGCAACTCTCTTGCGCCTTAACTCATGAACAGATTCTCTAATTTTTTTTTTTTTTATCTAACCTCCTGTTTTTATTTCAGGCTTTAAAAATACATAGTTTCTTACATCAAATCTTGATGCAGCATCCTGTTACCCGTTAGGATCATTCATTTCACCATGGTGCATACTCTGTGCAGGCACTGTATTAGGCAGTGGGGTACAATGGTCAGCTGATGAGACGAGAGAGGGCAATAGGTGAGAAGAGGAGGAGGTAAATTTGGAAAAGCAGATGGTAGCCAGACCTTGAGGACCTTGTTGGAAATATGGGTATCTCGTGGTTTTATTCTAAGCAATGTAAAGCCACTAAAAGGCTTTAGGCTGGAGGATGACTTCATCAGGTTTGCTTTTAAAAATACCATCCCAGCCATTACGTGTAGACTGGACTGGGGGCAGGGGAACTGACACGAATGCCAAGCAAGACCAGAACTGACACGCTTCACGATGGACTCAATCAGAGACGTGAAGCAGCTATGGGCTTGAATAGTTGGGTGAGCGGAGGTGTCATTTACTGACCTGGGAAAGATCAAGGAAGTAGATTTGACAAGGAAGGTGGAGGGATTTGTCCACTAGACTTAGAGGTAGATAGGCAATTAAGTCAATTAGGTAGACCAGAGAGATCAGGAGATCAGAAAGGCCGGGGTTGGAGATGAATGAACTCATCTGGGGGTGGGGGGCAACATGACAAGAAAACAAAATTGAGGACTGAGCCCAGGGGCACACCGAGATTTAGAGGTCAGTCAGAGGACAAAGGAGAGTAAGAGAGGCCAGTGCGGTGGATATTGCTGCCCAGCATTTTAGCGTGCAACAAAGGAGGGTCTGGGTGTGAGTGCTGATGAAACCCAACACTCACGACCAGATAGAAGAGGATGAAAAGGGCGCAGGAAATAAAGGAACATATTAGACACAGAAGGAAATCCAGGAGCTGTGGTATCAGGAGGCAAACGGTCATGGCCGGTGGACTAGGGGCAGCTCTTCTACAGGAACGACGGACGCAGAAAACACATCGGAAGAGATTCAGGAGGGAGAGGACATTTCTCCAGGGGGAAAATGGGACAGTAGCTGGTGAGGTAGGAGTTAGAACATGAACCCCAAACAGGTTTTTACTATGGGATGGACTTGAGCATGTTGACTGGCAAGGACCCCAGCTAATCACAAGAAGAGAGAAGGGCTAATAGAGAGTTAAAAGTACCCAACGGGGCAGGACGGGAAAGGATCCCAAGCCCTGGAGGAACCTGTGCTCACAGGGGAAGCACCTCTCTCTGCTCATGGTTGGGAAGCAGGAATCGGGGTGAATTTTTCTGACCCCTGCAATATTCTGTGTATTAGTGGACACACAGGATGCTTGCTGCGTACTGCCAAGGTCTCAATGCTGGCTGGTTACAGTACATTTACAGGAGCCCCCTCCACCCAGCATTGCTGCTTTTGGGTGCATTTTGGATAATAGGATTTTTCCAGAGTGAAGATTTTGTCACATGTAAGTGTCAATAGCAACCATGTTATTGAAATTATGGGCTATAAAATCTAAACTGGATTAAGAAGAAAGTGAGAAAAAGGAGAGGGATGATGGATTGGAAAAAAAAAAAAAGGAAACAGGCCA